GTCAAGTTTTCAAAATACATATTAATCTTCCTCTTAAGTGCACCTTAGGACCTTAGGCTCCTGTGGTGTTTTGGGGTTTTCAATTTTGGATGTTAGTTGATGCTCACCTGGGTGGTTTATCTTGCCACTTCAACCAGGACTCCAAGCAGCTTGCTTTATGGCCTGTGCCCCAATTTTTCCTTTACCAATCTAGTGCTTGGGGAATGAATGCCCTCAGGCATGTGGTCTATTCCTCCATGGAATAAAAAAGGGGAACATGGGCCTCCGTTCGGTGGCTATGCTCCCTTTAATTTCGACCTCATCCTGCAGAGTGAGGGCTCTGTGTTTGCCCTAAGAATTTTGAGGTCTTTGGCTCTTCTGGCCTATTGTACCATTCAGGTTTTTACCTGCCCCCTCAGGTCTCAACCCAAAGCCTGACTGTTGGTACTGGATGTCCTTATGTCTAAAATCTATAAATTCGAATGTTTGTGATGCAAGCGAAAGATTTAAAAAAAAAAACTTCAAATTTCTACAGTATATCAGCAAATAAAGCTGATATACTGAAAGCTGAAAGAAACTGTGCCTCCACTGCCTCTGGAGAAAAGGCAGAGTCCACCGGTAAAGTAGGAAGAAGGGAGGCTCACTGGTCTTTCCCAAAAGCCCCAGCAGGAGGAACGGGCTTTAATGCCTCTGCTGCTGAACCGGAAGGGCAGCCCCCGAAACCACCCGAGTCTTACCACCATCAAAACCCTGCCTTGACTCTGAAACCCTCAGATGTTTGGGAGTCGACAACAGAGGGGGGAGGGGGGAAAACAAACAACAGAATGGGAAGGACAAGGGGGCGCGGATGAAACCAAGGTCAAGACGACTAATGCCCCCAAATCTGGGTCCCTATAACAGGCAGCAAGGTACAGGACAGCCTTGGGGCATCCAGAAAGACAACCAACACAGCACAGCAACCTAAACCTCGCATGCAATGCTGAAGCTACCTGCACCCGAATATCAATATCAGTGGACTGGGTGAATTGGTGTACAAGCAAGGAACACCAGTCGCAGGACTCTGGGTCAGAGATGTCATTGAACGTACAGGTAGCATGGTGGAGGCAAAAGCAGTGAGTGTCACCCTGAGACCAGAGGACAGAACAACCTTAAAACTCAATCCATTGGACCAATGAGCCCCAATGGGTTTTCCAGGGCCCTTGGGCTGACTGCTAAGGGAAGCCCAGGCAAGGTACTGCTAACTGGTTATCCCAGAAGTACCAAACAAACAAACAAACAAAAGCTGAACCCCTGTGATGTGTACAATCACAGGGGCCTAGCAGAGGGACACCCAAATAATACAAGTGGTCCTGTAGCCACACCAGACAGTTTGTGGAAGGTAACCCCAAACCGCAAGGGCAGTACTTACAGACCACCTAGGAAAGGTGGCGTTAGGCGCATGCAGCCCCAGTACTTCATGAATTATACCTGGCTTGCATACCACCATACCACAGCACAACACCACAAGGCACAGCACCGCTAAAAGATTGGAGCCAGAGTCAAACGACCTCTACCCAGCACATCAGCTTCATAACTGGGGTTGGATAGCTGGCACGGGGGATTTTGGTATCCCCATCCCCCTCCCGGGAAGGGGGAAGCTGCGCAGACAATGGTGCGGCGGCGATGGTGACATCATGCTTGTTTGCTAGTTTTCGGTTTAGGGAATTCTGCTTGCTAGTTCAGCTTTCAGTTGCAATTTTTAACCAGCTGTAGTTTGTTTCGGGATGCCTACCTTTCTGGGTGCCTAACCCGGTTGATGTGAGACATGGAATGCTTCCAACCACATGAGGGTTTCTAGAGGCCATTGCTCCTCGAGCCTCTCTGAGGGGGGCCAGGTTCAGGCTCATGGTTCCCGGTAGGCAAGAACCTCACTGAATTGATTGATGCCACAGTCTAATACAGTACATATATATTAGCCCGGTAAGCTTTAGGGAGCCGAAGGGGGCTCTCCATATAAAAGGCGTACAAGTTGCAAGCAAGTGTTCTGAAGGCTAGAGCACAAAGAGAAAAATGGGACGGCTACCATAACTGGTAGAGAGGTGGATTACAAATGTTCTTAAACTGCCAATTGTGACAGTAAGTCAAACAAAATCCACCATGTATAAGGTGCAAAACTCAGTCCCACTATTTGTCTTCCACATCATCTTAGAAAAGAAACCAACACAACTCACATTTTTTTTTTTTTTTTTTTTTTGTATCTTCACTGATGACACCAAAATCAGCATGAAAATTGTCTCTGAATACATAGAAAATTAGAAACATATATCAACAAAGTTTTCCAGTGAGGAATGTAAAATATTATTATTGTTGAGTCACATTACAATTGCAATAATTTGATATGGAGAAAACTTACATTAAAAGGGATACAGGGTACAAAACATGGTCAAATTTAGAGACCCAACCAAAGATTTAGGAATAGTGTCAGATGTCTTAGTGTTTAGATCCCAATAAAGCAATCAGTGTCAGCCAGGAAAATAATAGGGTGGCTTTTAATAACATTCAAGACAAGGAACTAAACACCAATGATGGTGCTCTACAAAGTACTGATGCTGAATGCAAGTGTTCAGTTCTCACATCCCCCTTCAAAGCAGTAAAGATAAGAGAATATAAGCTAGAAAATACAGAGCTTATATCTAAAATATATAGATATATTTATATAATTTATATATAAAATTACTGCCCACTCATAATTAATTAAGCTCTTAAATGGGGTCATCTCAAAACACTAAAATTGTATGCCTTGACATGGACATTAGAGATATTTCATAATGTACATGTGAAAAATACAGGAAAATCATGTTCCAAACCTGCAATATAAAATCGCAACATACTAGAGGGAAACATATGTATGAACTTTATAATAATTTAAATTAAAAGTACGGGTGCTATAAGCATAATCAAAGGTCCACAACTCTTCAACTTCCTACTGGCATATAAACCAAATATCAAATACCATAAGTTTAAGCTTTCAAGTGGAAACGTGACTAATTTCTGTTTTTTTTTTTGTTCCTGGATTACACTGGATGTGATAGGAGTGCTCTGCAAGTTAGAAAGACAAACTAGCCTAAACAACGAGGGAGGTTGCCCATCGGTAATTCCATAAAGCTTAAATTAAGCACATATATTTCAGGATCAATACCATCTCACAGGGTATCTACGACTACCTTTTCAGCCTACCAGGAACAAGCATCATGCCTCCCTCAAGGGGGACGGGAGTGAAAGTGGGTGTCTCAGACTACCTCTTACTAAGGGAAAACCTACCAATAAAATTGCAAGAGGGGGGTAATCATTTTTTTAGTACAAATGAAAACTAGATATAGGCTTTGATCTAGATTTTGCATAGAATAAATATTTGCAGTTATCCTAATTCCATCGATGGCTTTTTACTCAATTTCTCTCTCCTGAATTTTATACTTGCAGTTTCATTTCAATAACTTCAATTTCTCTACATGGCCTTCCATGCTGTTCTTGGGATAGAGTTGAGTGTTTGAGTGGGTCTGTGATCTTTTTTCTTCACCTAAAAGAGAGAGAGTACTGTTCATATTTCTAATTTACACTTTTTCTCTGTTTTTCTTAGTGGTATATGGCGAGCATATGTCTAGTGTTACTGTGCCTGTTCCCTTTCAGGTAATGACTTAGATTTGCATTACTTAGCTGTTCTTCCCAGGTTATTTCTGTGGTCATTGCTTATTATTACCCAATTAATAATTTAACTTTAAATTTAATGTTGAATTACCCTCCTCTTGGATTTAAAACCTGGCTGCACTAATGGCCATCTACTGTTCATGCTTGCTTGCCTGAACTTTGAGTAGACTGTGATCCAAATAACATGCACATGTATTTGTATTCATTACAGAATGAGGGAAGCAGTGATGTGATAATTTGGTTGATTGTATTTAGTATTGAGTTTGATTTGGTATTTGTTTGTAACAAATACTGCATTTCTCTATAAGTGTACATCTTTTTTAACCCTCTTTTAAGTGCTGAGGCAGGTTTTCCTTAACGTAAGGTAGTCTTTGAGAGGAGTTCCCAAAGTACAAAAATTACACTTATGAATTTAAAACAAAACAAAAAATAATGAGAGCAGTCCTATGTATTATCAATTACTTTATGTAAGAATAAGTAAATATTATATACAATGTGTGGATAATCATTTTTTTAGTTTAGGTTCTCAGCTGGGACTCATCACATTTAGGGGTCACTGATATGATGAAATTTAAGAAATCTTGGTCAATGATCTATCTCCTTATCTTGAGGTTATCTTGAGATGATTTCGGGGCTTAGCGTCCCCGTGGCCTGGTCCTGGACCAGGCCTCCGTTTTGCTACAACCCCCCCCCCCCCCCAGGAAGCAGCCCGTAGCAGCTGTCTAACTCCCAGGTACCTATTTACTGCTAAGGTAACAGGGTCATCAGGGTGAAAGAAACATTTTGCCCATTTGTTTCCACCACTACCGGGGATCGAACCCGGAACCTCAGGACTACGAATCCGAAGTGCTGTCCACCAAGCTGTTAGGCGCCCATACATGATACCCACAAGTCCTGCAAGATGTTAGTCCTTGCTCCTGATAGTTCGAATAGATAATGACAGATGCCTCTTGAGATGCTAATGGCCCAGGAGTCCTCCATGTTTATTCACATAGTGAATACCTAAGGTGATGCTATGGGAAGCCACTGAGTGGTCAACCAGCAAAAGGTGTTTCAATTCACTCAACACATTGTTTATGCAGTGGTAGATGGATGAAATCCGATAAATGAGAGGGTAGTGTATGCCAACATCACTAGAAGCTTCGAAACTTTATACAGCAAATATTAAAGAAAGATGGGACATAACAGGCTTAGCTTTCATTCTGTAACTACAGTTAGATAATTACACACAAAAAACACACTTACCTACTCACTAAATACTATTAGGCTATGACAAACACACAGATAAAGGAGCAGAGTAAAACCCAGAGACAAAAGTCCCTACGTTATCTACTCACCTGCCTCACCTCTCCATTTGCCTGACTTTCACGTCGCTGGCACTTGTGGGCATGAAGGAGGAGAACTAGCTGCTGCTGTATCAATTTTCTTTTTTCAGGGTCAGCTGGGTTAGGTCTTGGTTGACCTGGAACCATCTGCCCTGGACCACCAGGAGCACCACCCATTGGGCCAGGAGGGCCAACAGGTGGGCCACCCGGAACTCCCTGAGTCCCAGGACCCGTAGGCCCAGGCCCAGGTTGTGGGCCCCGAGGCATAGAACCCATTATACCCATCATTTCTTGATTAGGATAACGAGGTGGCATTCCCATTCCCATTGGTCGTTGCCCAGGTCCCATTCCAGCATTGGCCTGACCCACATTGCCATCCATTCCCTGACCAACTCCTGGGCCACCAAAATTGTAAGTTCCTGACAGGGTGGGCTGACCAATGCCACCTACACCGGGACTCTGCAAAACAAGAAACATAAATTATTAAATAAAATATAAATTAGGCAATCAAAAAAGTACAAATTAATAAATTATTAAATATATCTCAAACTAGGCTATAATTATCTAAATGATAAAATTTTCCAAGTAACAACCTCGTCAAGACAATGATTTTGCAAAGCTTGAGTCAAGATAACTACAGTACCGTTGTCTGGGGTAATCACTATTCACTGCTGTATCCAAATATGCACCTTCTTATATACTGGTACTAGTAATCCTGTACGCATTGGTAACTAGCAAAATATGATGCATCTGTATGACAACCCTAATTCAATACTGTATATAATCTCATACCTTGTACTGCAACTCATGCCATAAGGCATTTGCCCTATGGCATTTAATATAAGTCAATTAAATATGATTTTAGAATAAAAATACTGTACAGTAGTACCTTAACAGAAACACCTATATACTTTGTATTGCAAGGGAAGACAGTTAAACCTATCTATAAACCTATAAAAAGACACCACAATTAGGTCTGTACATATAAAACTTACATGGATATTAACAAAAATATGTAGGTGTCCTCCACATATAGTGGTATGCAAAGCATCAAAAACACATCAGCAAGACCTATCACCCATTTATATGAAAATTATGCCAGAAAAACATGTATACTGTATTATGGTCTACAATATACCCACCTTTATTTCAATTAAATTAGGCAGCACTTTTATAATCATATACTTTACCTATTTTTTGCATGTTTGTCTCCCTCTCATCATCTAGGATTCAAACACCAGCATCTCAGGAGACCAAACACCAACACTAGTTACCCCAATGGTCAGTAACTTGTTTCTTGGGAACCACTGAGCATTAACATTTTATATACCCTGTCCCTGGATCATACCTGGAGTGGGTTCTGGTAGGAATTCTACTCCACAGTCCTGGCCTAGGGCCAGGTTTAACTTTTGGTAGTTTGGTCAAACAGACCATTGCTTGGAGCACCCTGCAGGCTCTCATATCCACTACAACCTGGTTGGTCTAGCACTTCTTGCTGGAACGTGACTAACTTTTTCTTAACACTGAAACTGCGCACATCAAATATATACAATTGAGGGTGCCGCGCACGATTTACATGTCCTACAGATACACGGAGTTCACATCAGCTTTCTCAGGACTCTAGTAAACAGACGCAATTTAAACAAAAAAATTGGGTAACATTCCCGGGTGTAAGAGCCTTAGCTCTGAGTGAGCAACCAAGGCTGGCGCACGCAGCATGAGCTAACAGAACTGCTGTTCAACTTGTGACCACTGTATCGCCTAAATATGTCAAAATATATATTTAGCTGCTATTATTTAGTGATGATAGTATTACAGAAGACCCCTGACTGTGATAAAATGACCAGGATTCTGATAATAGCAGGATTTTGGTGATAATTAGTGCTGTGTGTAGTATGGTGGGAGGAGTAATCTTGGTGAGGGAGGCAGGCAGCGTCGTCTGCTGACTCTGTGTGGCAACCTGTTATTGTGTTGACTCACCACACCAGCTTGGTGGTTCGCTATGGTGAACACAAATGTATGTACTTATATATAACGTGTGTATATAGTGTAGTAACAGCAAAAGGAGTATGCTGGGGAGGAAACATTTTGGGGAGGGAGCATCAGCTGACAGTGTGGCTATCTCTGATATTGTCTGAACTCACCAAACCAGTTTAGTTGTACAGTTATGGTGAATAAAACATGTAGACTCTTATATAAAGTCTGTATATTGTGTAATAAAAGCAAAAACGGTATGGTGGGAGGAGGAATGTTGGCGAGTGAGGTGTTGGTGAGGAAGGGAAGGAGGTGGCACTTGCTGGCTGGTGTGTGGCAGCCACTCTTGTTGTTTTGACTCACCATACCAATTTAGTGGTTCACTATGGTGAACAAAACATGTAGATACTTATATATAACGTGTGTAAATAGTGCAATAACAGCAAAAGGAATATGTTGGGAGGAACCATTTTAGTGAGGGATGGAGCATCAGCTGACTGTGTTACTGTGTTGAAAATTACTTAAAAAATTAAACAAATCTCCAATTTATTATATTAACTTCAGCGTCGTGAAACTTTCATCAAAATATTTCCAGAAATTGATTTTAGACGATTTTTTAAAAAGAACAACATTATGTTGATAAGGAGAACAGTTCCTATTAACTGGAACTGAGGGATAATGCAGTAATAAAGAGATGCAAGCACCTGTCCGACGCACAAAGAAGAATAGTAGTATTAAGTGTCCATGAAGTGGACATGCAGCTGGTGCCTTTATAGCATTGCTGAGTAATACACAATAACACAAATAATAATGAATAAGTATGTTATTATGCTCTATTTTGTTATATATCATATAAATACATTGCCCATGTTTATATGTTACTTTCAGCAATGTCCACAAAATTTGGTTTTGGGAGGATTTTTTTTGTTTTTGTTTTTAGATTTTAGTTTTTTCTCCTTTGTTTATCATCTGATTTTGTCGTAATCATACCATAGAACACAAAAGGATTTGGGTGTAATTATGGCAAAAGACTTTACCTTACTTTGCTTTTACCTTGCGGTTACCTTGCGATGATTTCAGGGCTCATCGTCCGCGTGGCCCTGTCCTCTACCAGGCTTCCTAGTTGCTGGACTGGTCAACCAGGCTGTAGGACATGGCTGCTCACAGCCTGACATATGAATCACAGCCTAGTTGATCCGGTATCCTTAGGAGGTGTTTATCAAGTTCTCTCTTGAACATTGTGAGGGGTCAGCCAGTTATGCCCCTTGTGAGTAGTGGATGCGTGTTGAACAGTCTCGGGCCTCTGATATTGATAAGAGTTTTCTCTCAGAGTACTTATTGCTCCCTTGCTTTTCAACAGGGTATTCTGCACATCCTGAAATGTCTTCTGGTTTTATGTGGTGATATTTCTGTGTGCAGGATTGGGACCAGCCCCTCTTAATATTTTCCATATAAATTATAATGTGTCTTTCCCGCCTGCACTCAAGAGAATACAGATATTGGCATTTTAGTCGGTCCCAATACAGTACTTTTAGATGTTTTACTGAGTGGATTCTAGTAGTAAAGGGTCTCTGCACGCACTCCAGGTCAGCAATTTCTCCAGCTTTGAAAGGGGCTGTCACTGTACAACAGTATTCCACTCTAGAAAATACTAGCTTCTTGAAAAGTATCATCATTGGTATAGCATCTCTAGTATAAAAGGTTCTTGTTATCCAACCTGTCATTTTTCTTGCAGTTGCGACGGCTATTTAATTGTGTTCTTTAAAGGGAAGATCTTCCAACATGAGTACACCTAAATCCTATACATTGCTTTTTCATTCTATGTATGATTTGACTGCGTTTTGTAAGTGGTTTCCGTTTTTATATTTTCCTTTTTCCGTAGCGCAGGAGCTGGAACTTATCTTCATTAAATACCATATTTGTATGGTATTTACTCACAAATTTGTAAGACAGACCGATGGTGAACAAATGATTATCCGTGTGGTATCACGATTGTTAGTCTAAATGAATGTGTATATTACACACACACACACACACACACACACTTCATTTCTCTCAATGTTTGCGGACGATGCTAAAATTATGAGAAGGATTAAAACAGAAGAGGACTGTTTGAGGCTTCAAGGCTTCAAGAAGACCTAGACAAGCTGAAGGAATGGTCGAACAAATGGTTGTTAGAGTTTAACCCAACCAAATGTAATGTAATGAAGATAGGTGTAGGGAGCAGGAGGCCAGATACAAGGTATCATCTGGGAGAGGAAATTCTTCAGAAGTCAGAGAAGGAAAAAGACTTGGGGGTTGATATCACGCCAGACCTGTCTCCTGCAGCATATATCAAGCGGATAACATCAGCGGCATATGCCAGGCTGGCCAACATACGAACGGCATTCAGAAACTTGTGTAAAGAATCATTCAGAACTTTGTATACCACATACGTATGCCAGGCCAATCCTGGAGTATGCAGCCCCAGCATGGAGTCCATATCTAGTCAAGGATAAGACTAAACTGGAAAAGGTTCAAAGGTTTGCCACCAGACTAGTACCCGAGCTGAGAGGTATGAGCTACGAGGAGAGACTACGGGAATTAAACCTCACTTCGCTGGAAGACAGAAGAGTTAAGGGGGACATGATCACCACATTCAAGATTCTGAAGGGAATTGATAGGGTAGATAAAGACAGTCTATTTAACACAAGGGGGAACATGCACAACGGGACACAGGTGGAAACTGAGTGCCCAAATGAGCCACAGAGATATTAGAAAGAACTTTTTTAGTGTCAGAGTGGTTGACAAAAGGAATGCATTAGGAAGTGATGTGGTGGAGGCTGACTCCATACACAGTTTCAAGTGTAGATATGATAGAGCCCAATAGGCTCAGGAATCTGTAGACCTGTTGATTGATGGTTGAGAGGCAGGACCAAAGAGCCAGAGCTCAACCCCCGCAAACACAACTAGGTGAGTACACAGGCTGTGAAAACAGGCTAACATAGTTCCAATCTACAAAAGTGGCAGCAGGGAAGACCCCCTCATTTATAGACCTGTATCATTAACAAGTGTAATAGTGAAAGTATAAGAAAACTAAACAAAACAAATTGGGTAGAACACCTGGAGAGAAATGATATAATATCAGACAGACAGTATGGTTTTCGATCTGGAAGACCCTGTGTATCGAATTTACTCAGTTTCTATGATCGAGCCACAGAGATTTTACAGGAAAGAGATGGTTGGGTTGACTGCATCTATCTAGACCTAAAAAAGGCTTTCAACAGAGTTCCACATAAGATGTTGTTCTGGAAACTGGAAAATATTGGAGGGGTGACAGGTAAGCTTCTAACATGGATGAAAAATTTTCTGACATAGAAAAATGAGGGCCATAATCAGAGGCAATGTATCGGACTGGAGAAATGTCACAAGTGGAGGATCACTGGGTTCAGTTCTTGCACCAGTGATGTTTATTGTCTACATAAATGATCTACCAGTTGGTATAC